ATAATAATAACACTAGCAACAACAACAACAATAATAATAATAATAATGATAACGGTAATGATAATAATAACTTTAATAATAATTATCATTATCATAACAGCAACAACAATAATGATAATCATAATAATGATGGTATTCATAATAATAATGGTAATGGATGATAATAATAATAGCAATAATAATAATAATAACACTAGCAACAACAACAACAATAATAATAATAATAGTAATGATAATGATGATAATAACACTAATAATGGTAAATAATAATGGTAATGGATGATAATAATAATAATAATGATAATGATAATAATAATAATAACACTAGCAACAACAACAACAATAATAATAATAATAATAATAATAATAATAATGATGATAATAACACTAATAATGGTAAATAATAATGGTAATGGATGATAATAATAATAATAGTAATGATAATGATGATAATAACACTAATAATGGTAAATAATAATGGTAATGGATGATAATAATAATAATAATAATAGTAATGATAATGATGATAATAACACTAATAATGGTAAATAATAATGGTAATGGATGATAATAATAATAATAATAGTAATGATAATGATGATAATAACACTAATAATGGTAAATAATAATGGTAATGGATGATAAAAAATATAATAGTGATAATGATAATGATCATGGTGATGTTAATGATAACTATAATGATAACAATAACAACATCAACATCAAATACTGATACTAATAATAACGATTATAATAATTTAAATCCAAGAAAACGAGCCGTAATAGCTGTATTGTTAGCATTAACCGTTGTAATTGTTGCAATAATAGCAATAGCAATAACGGTAGTTACAAAATTAGCTGTACTGGTAACAATTGTAGTAATAACAAAAATATCAGTAGCTAGAAGAGTGACACTAGACTTGAAATAGCAGTAACATGGCAGTAAGCACAATGACCGCGATGGTAATAATGGAAGTGGTAATGTGACGGGATCTGCAGCAGGAGAATGACGGTAACGACACCGTGAATCCGTAAGAATGATAATGGCGGCAAGTCAGCACCGAGCTCCGACCATCTCGTCCGAGGAGAGCTCAGCGGGGTGACGTGACGTTGGTGAGAGCATCACGACGATGATGATTCTTGAACTCGACCTACACATTTCCTCAGACTTCAGAGGCGAGATCTCAGTCCAGATGGCTACCTGTCCTGCGCCTCTATTCGACAGACGTCCTGTCTCATTCCCTTTGTGAGTCGGGCTTTTCTCTAAAAGATTTTACGTGGAGATAGTTCCCCTGACGTCTGGAAGCCGAGGTTCCTCCTCCCAAAGAGAAATGGCATCCCAGGTGTCCCTGCCGGCTCTCCCTTGATCGCAGTCTCTCCAATAACACTTGTCTTAAGCATTCTCTTTCTCAGGGCCCTTTCTCACCTAGAATTGTTCTGCTATCATTGAACAGGGAACGTTCTCTGAGCGCAGCAATTTTCAGCTGAATTATCTATTTCTGTCCGATATCTGCAAACCATTTTTTACCGATAGTCATAACTTTGCATTTGGTTTCGCTTACAGGAATCCCCAAGACAAGAGTGAACACCTAACACGATGCTAACGAAACCTTTTCCCTAGCTAAGCCTAGCATGCGGAGCATCCACTCAATGTTTAAACCGACAAAACATGTTGAAATTTGCTTGCTGATACAGAGTTGAGGAGGGAGGGGAAATGGCAAGGAATATCATAGAGGTGACTTGACAGTACATGGTAGTGCCGGGACAGTCTGAAAATTCTTATAAAAGTTCGGGGACATGCGCTAAAGCCTAGCAACTAATACATGACTTATGGGTACGATATAACCTGTAGGGACTTAATCTGATATAAAGCCTCGTTCAATAGGCGGAGGGGCGTAGTATAACCTGTGGGACGAACTGTAATCTAGAATTTGTAATATGAGTTAAGGGGACGTATATATTCTATAGAGGACATATACGGCTACCAATTGCCACGCGGTGCAGTCTGAGGATACGGCGTATAACCTGAGAACACGTATGGTAATCTAAATAACATGTTATATAACCACAGAAACACACATACAATAACAAGTTAAACGGAGAATAAGATCTTTTGCAAAGTCTGAGAGCTAGTAGAGTGAAACGAAACACCTGAAGGATAGCACGAAGTCTTGTTTTGTAATACTATTATTTACAGAGCCACTTTAAAATCAAGAAGCAGTAGCTTTATAATGACTTGTGGACCTGAAGAATTCTCCGAGAACCTGTGGAATATCCAAAGTACCTTATCATAAAACCACGTTCATTTGGCATATGCTGCCATATGCTGGAAAAGTGACAGTGCAATGTATTTAATTTTATCATTAATTTGTACAGCTGGGTGAAGCCTAATGATATTACTCTGAATCATATTTTCTATGAATATGCTATTACTACGCACTACACCTGAAGATTTTTTGGAACCTATGGATAAGCACAATGAAGTGCGCTGGCCTACCATTAGGTGCGACTAGTGTCGAGGTGCAGGTGCCACTTTGTACAGCCAGAAACGATGAGTCAAGATGCAATATCAGAGAAAAAATCTAATGCATTCCTCTCGGTGCAGAAACTTTCAAAGTGACTGAATTATGAAATACACAAGGAAAAAATCACTGTAAGTATGTAAAGACAATATCGGGCTGAGACCCATGTCATATCTCATCGTCTGAACTAGTACCTATGAATTTGATCAATTATCGATCATTCATGAAAGGCAAGAACAGTAGGTGAAATTACTGAAATTTATGGCAAATCCCTAGAATATCTAGCTGTCAATATAGGAATAAAAATCACTAGAAATTGAGAAACTATCTACAATGCCATATTACTTAACTGGTAACACAGTATGTAAAAATATATGTATATGTATATAACTGTATTTACACGTCACTGGGTTTGTTAAAGAGGTAAATCATCCACACAACATCCTGAAAGGTTGTTGAGGCGAGAACAAGAGGTTAGTGTGTTAGTACCTGAGGAGGAGGCGACGGGGGCGGGGTTCACGGTGAGAGTGGAGCCGGTGTTAGTGGGGCGAGGGTGGCGCCTGTAGAGGGACGTGGCGCTGCCGGACCCCGAGGACGCCCCTGAGCCTCCCACCTCCCGCCCAAGGTCGCGCTCCACCGAGCCGTGGGTGCTGCGCCGCCCACCCAGGTCACCCGCCTGTTTCAGCACCTGGTATATCAGGTCCACTTCCTCCGTCTTGTCTATAACAACACAACAGTGGCATGCTGTTAGTGCACACTCCTCACACCGCAGCCGCTCCTCGTCGCTCAACTCGTACCATTATTGCCATGACAAATAGAAACAACGACTGGACGCACGAGTCCTTGTCTGACAACAGAAAAGCTGTAGGTGACTTGTGTAAAGGAAAAAACATTTTAATGGAGAACTCAAATTACTCAAGAATTTATAAAACAATAAATTTTGTCAAGGAAGAACTAGTAGTATGGCACTAAACCAACGCCTTTCGCTGCTGTGTCCATACATATACTTACGGTATTGAACTTACGTATTCATGACTGACCCGATCATTCCTGTATAACCTGTATTCAGTATGAACCAGAGGGAATGGAATTATGATTTTTGGAAATGTAATATGTACAGAAGAATCAATTCGCTACAGTGACAATGATGTGCAGCGATTTAAAAAATGGAGAGTGTGACATCTAAGAAAAAGAGTTTGTACAAATATGTACTTTATAAAATGCTCACTTTCTCATCACTCCAAACACAGATGAAAACGTCTCCGCCACGGACACGGGACAACAGCTCTAACGGCTGCAGCAAGAACAATACTCAGCTACATTACGACAACATCGACCTGCAAGCCTCACCTGACCCGCACTGTGTCGTGCTGTACAAGCGGGCGATTTTCGGAGCTTCAACAAATAACAACAACAAGAAGTATACTAAGTACAATAAGGCTTACTAGTGATGTTTACCCATGGGGAATGTGTAACTGCCAAGAAGAGACAAATTAAAATAAAGAGAACAAGTAAATGAAATGAGTAAACACTATTTTGCCATTCCAATGGGAAGAAACCAGATCTCGTGATGAAAGTATTAGAAGTACTTTGTTGCCTTACGGGAAAAAGAGACTGAAACACTGTCATGCAACTGTTCTCCATATCGTCAACAACCGTTATATACACATCACTACGACAAACAACACAATAAGAGCAGTAACTATACAGGACGTGTGGAAAGAGAATCAAGGAACAAAAAGGAATTTGAGTCGACATGCATCAGCCCCCCAGATCGTCTCCCTTCTCCTTCCTTCGTTCCCGGACTGGATCTCCCTCAGACAGGAGGTAGACAGGTGAGAGGGCGAGGTGGGTGAGTGAGGGTGAGGGCGCCATGCGAGGGAAAGACAGCTCGTGGGGTATCGCTCCCTCTCTCCTCCTGCGAGTCTAGTTTAGCAGTTGCATTTGCTCTGGATTCCTTGTGAGTGACACCTACACTGGGGTGGGAAATGCCGAAATAAAAGCCCAGTTGTGGGACTATTGGAAGTTCGTACTTAATTCTTAACTTTTCTCTCATCTGTGTCAATCTGAGACTATAACTCATCGGTGTTTGAAAGTGAAGTCGCTCATATTTTCCCCGTTGATGCGTTATTTCGGCATTTCAAGGTGTGTATTCCACTACGAAAATGTCAACTCTTTAAAAAACCCTCTAGAAGGTTCCGCTGTTATGTAAGTGTGGGAGAAACAATCCTTTGATTTCTAATGAAAAAATAACAAACCTATTAGATTTGGGTCACATAAAAGACACTTCATTCAACAAAACTGTTACGAACAATATCTCTCTTAGTCAGATCTACTACAGTTGTACAACTACACTAGGGAAATTTTCTCTCGTTTGCTAAACTAGACTCAACACGTGCGCGTAACTAGTACAAGTTAGACGTGTAAGGGTCTTGGACGCAGGACACCTCCATTCGCCCAACAAGGATCCGCAAATACCTATTTGGATCTCCGTGGCCGCACTAGAGGACGCAGGTTCCGCGCCCCGGCGGGCAGGCTGGCTGGCGATAAGCGAGCTGAAGCTGATAGTGGGCTCGTCTGTAAGAGACGGTGGAGCTGTGTTATATCTGACAGTGCCATGGGACAGACGCGGTGTCACGGGTCACAGGCGGTGGAGCTGTGTTGCAACAGAGTGCCTACAGGCTTGGCTGGAGCTGTGTTTTGGACAATGAAATCCCCAAAGTTTAGAACTGCTGCCGGGCAACATAATACCCTGTTTAGAGTAAATAATGGAGAGTGAAATTATGAAGAGTCAGTGCCATGGAGTCCTTGTCTTGTGAGGCGAACGTCACCGCACTCCACCCGGGCTGGGCGAGACAGTCACCAGAGTGCAGCTTAAACACAGAGCACATTTACCACTGGACATTGCTGGCTGTATTGGGCAGTTAAGCCTACCTTGACCGTTGTAAGAGGCAGTTTCTTACAAATACACTTTCCTGACTGTGTGAAGTAGTCGTTATGATATAAACCTAGTCAGGATTAGAAATATCTGAATTAAATCTGAAGACAGTTTGTGTTATGTTAGATGTAATTTAGCGTGTATAAATGAAACCTTACCATATTGTTTGGAGTGAATCTTGAAGCGCGGGCGGTTGCTGCATATATCACATAAGCATTGAAGCTTGGATTAGCATCAGTGGCCATTCTCCTCCATTCATTACCAGCGTTAAACCCCGTCTGACGCATATTATCTCGAGAATGTCATTCACGTTGTCATTTCACACGCCCATAGACCCGTAAATGGGCGTTCACATGCGTTGTAATTTCTAAAAGGAATTCCTAATTTTTTCAGTCCCCTTGTTAAACATGTAGATAATCTGATATGGAGTCTCGTATAGGAAGAATCCTCAAATGCAATAAAAAAGAAGAAAACATCACTCCCGACCATCTGAGTCACCCCCATGAACAAAAGAATGGGTGCCTGTTATCAACCATTAGCAGGAGTGGTTGACACGTGTACCACCTTTGTCGCTGGCTTAAATGATGAGTGTCATTGCAGATATTTAAGGCTGTAATTACCATTTGTTGTACCTGACTATTGGCACAATTGTGCCTGGCTTTGGATGGAATTACCGAGTGTAATTGCTAATTGTCATGATTGCTTGTTAAGAACTTGAAATTACAGTTTTAAAGTGATGTATGAATGGCAGATATTTTTAATGTTAGTTACTGGACGATGATTGATTTGAAATGGTGTTCCCTAATTCTTATCGTTATCGCTGCTGTTTCTCGTGTCTGTGATACCGAGTCGATATTTGTGATATCACTTTCAGCCAGCTGTCGAGGTACACATGTACCAGCCAGGCACCGGCGAGGACGACAGGCGTGTGTACCTAACAGTTCCGCCTCGTGTAAGATAACATCTCGGCATATGGTCACAGGAGCAGCTTAAAGTTGGCAGTCCGAGTCATGCACAGAGCGCCCGGGGCAACGGAGACCTCGACTGGTGAGGAAGTCATGCACGGCGGTACGTGGGCCACTGAATGTCTCCTTTCTAATTTTGCTGGGCCGGCGCAAAGAGCAGTGCATGGTGCAAAGGGATCCAGCTGTGCATTAACTCGGGGCCGGAAAAGAAATGAGGCTGGGGTGCAAGTTACATTCATCATTCTGGAATGAAAACACATGACGCGCCGTGTTTTTCCGGGCAAATTGCGAATTAAAGCATGAAAGTGAAAATTATGTTAGACACTACTTTGCATTAGAAGATACAAATGGCTCTTCTGAGTGACCAGGCTGCCGTGCAAAGTATCTGTCGCTCGCCGGCCTGACATTGAGCCCGCGGGAGCCGTAAAGTGAATCAAGGAGGTGTGTAAAAGATGGTAAAAACATGAATGATACCAAGTAATCTGCTGATACCATTCAGGCTTCTAAATACAGTTAATGCTACCACGTGAATTAAGTACACATTTGGTTATGGACGAGACTGGGAGGCAATTCCATAAACTCGGCCAGCAAGCAATTACGTGTCAGGATCGATATGACTAAAGAAAATGCATTTTAAGGCCGGGGGGCAATAGAAAAGTGACTGCATGAGTGACACAAGGTAACCTGAAGGTAAATAGGCGTGAAGGGAACGATAAGTGACAAAATAAGTTATGTGCATGTCACTATTATTTCACACTGAGAAACCGTGTGGCGAGCGATGCAGCCGGAAGAGCACTATATCTCCTCACGTGACCCAGGAAAAATAGACTTCAAACAAACCATGTTCTTTTTGTTTAGACCTATGAAGTTGGCCGGCTGAGTTAGTGTCGGTACCGGGAATAATAAAAGCCATGTAACAGAATGCCTTCCGATGACAAGAAGCGAAGCATTAAGGTGTGTTCACAATGTAACTTGATGACAAGGGTGCACTCTGGAAATATCACCATAGAGGAGCATCGAGAGAGATTCCCGAGAGGCACAATGGATTGTCAAAGTAGAAGGCGAATTAAGGAATCCTGTGGAAAGAAATCTGGTTGCATCTCTTTTCTGTAACAGGGCAGGACCACCAAGGTTACGCAATCTATCCGCGTTGTACCATTTAAACAGCGTGTTAGAATAAACAGCAGATCTTACGAGCGACCAGAACGTAATAAAATTCACCCTTACCATAGTCACATCGTTATCGCAAAGGTTAAAAATTATACTGTCAAAAGATAGCGACACAGGCACTGGGGGATCAAGGCGGGACCAGTGATTGCCACCTGTAAAAAGTGCGGTCCATTGCGAAATTGCACGGCTGTCATGTGGCTAACAGGTTGCGTGTCGATAGGGATTGTGGTCCAAGTGTTGCTTCAATCAATATACTGGAGCAGGTATAAAACCCAGGGTTGACTAGCTCTTGCTCAGCGGTTTCGCCAGTTACCGGTTAGTAGAATGGAAGTGGAATCTTAAAAGCTGAATAAAAAGTAATTTAAGAATATTGCCATTTATATTTTTGTTTATACTATCGGAGACATTCTTTTGGTTCATTCGAAGAATGAACATATCTTCACAGCAAGTCACGCCCTTATAACCTCAGGAAAATAGGAACAAATATATTTCCAATATATTTCTGGTAAGAACTAAAAATGTGAATATAAAAGCAAGGACAAATTATAATCTTAACAAATGCAAATAAAACTATGAAACTATACGACGTTATCTCACAGAGGGCGCGACACCAAACCTGTTGTGATGTATCATAGCGACAGCACATTCATCCCTGTGATATACAAATTTTCATTATTGTACATTTTCCTTGCAGTTGCTCAATTTTGTTGATTAAACAAAAGTCTTGCATGATAAATTACCTTAAATGACAAAGAGCCTTGCATGACATACAGCCTTGCATTACATACAGCCTTTGCATGACACACAGCCTTGCATTACATACAGCTTTGCTTGACATACAGCCTTGCATGGTAATCACACTACCACACTATGTACCGGAAACGTTTTTCCACAGCGCGAGGGAAGCCAGCGCCTCCTCACTCGCGTCCTCACGCCCTGTACATGGAACATTCCTCTCGACTCGCCAGCGGGGAATCTGGCGCTCGACCAGGCAGCTCCTCGCTCTAAACGCGTCTCTCTTTACGCCATACATGAAGCCTGTCTCGGATTGGCCAACCTCGCCAGGCAGGACAAGCTTAGCTAACCCTTTCCTACTCCTGGACAAATCTACGGAGGACATGACACACGGGAACAAAATATACGAAAATGTTCAGTAAGTGGCAGCAGCTCATAAACAGCCAAAAAGAACAAAAAATATGACTTGAAAAAATCAGACCTTTGAAATGGGATCTTCATATTCTGAAATCGAAAAGTAATTGCCAATTAGAAACGAAAACAAACAAAATGTGGAAAGTTCATTTTCATGTTGAGTAGTACTGTTTGGATCAAGGAATGTGTAATGTGTAGCATGAGAAGAATAAAAAAAGGAAATTGAACTGCTACCATAACTCGTATAATCTGAACGTGTTATAATTCCAAAAACTGACGAGTTATGTGGAAAATCTCAATGAAGGCTAAGATTCCAAGACCAGGAATTAAATACGCCGTGCACACACGCTCTTTGCCAGGGACGGAATCACTCCGTCCCGTTCCCGAAGCGAGTGCGTGCGCGCGCGTGCGTGAAGCCGCGTGGCGACCCCAAAACACCACAAGACAGTCTACACTCACTGTCTTCTTCTCCGGCGTCCATCTGTTTGCTTTCGATCTCGGAGGTGGAACGCTGACGTCGCAGGAGGCGGGACTTGGGCTGACACTTCCCCACCTGGTCCTGACATTCGGCGTGGACGTTCATTTTGCACATCCTGCATTTCAGGCCTTGGCGGGAGTGTCCTGCGGGAGAAGACAGGCACAGGTGAGGGGCGGTGCAGGTGATCAATACTGTCATATATGTGGATATATGTATATTACACACATATATGCATATATATATATATATATATATATATATATATATATATATATATATATATATATATATATATATATATATATATATATATATATATATATACACTGTATATATATATATATAGATACACACGCACGCTCGCGCGCGCACACATATATGTGTGTGTGTGGGTGAATGTGATATATATATATAATATATCTATCTATCTATATCAATGTATATATATAGAGAGAGATATAGATACACACATATATATATATATTTAAGTATAAATGAATATACATTAGAAAAATAATATTACATGACAGTATAAACAAATGTATCTTATACACAGCTACTATCTATGTTTAAACAAAATCACACAGACACACACACTAATTGCCTCTATAGTAAAATGGATTTACGTTCAGCAAAACTCGGAGGCTTAGGTATTTAACTGAATCATGTATAAAATACTACACAAACGTAGGCAGTTTGTGTAACCAATTATAAGCTGCATTTGCATTTGATTCATGGAATACAATTAAACACCTGGTGATAAAGTAACAGAATACTAATACAAATAATTATTGGGGAGAAAATACGATATATATACGCAGATACCAAGAGACAAGTTAAATTAAAGACAGCTATTAGAATACATTCTAAGTACTAATCATGACGTGACGGAATACTAATATAAAATGATAAGTGATCAGAAAAATGATGTATATACCCAGGCAGCAAAGGCCAAGTTTCAATAAAGATTATAGTTTCCTTTTTCTATTTATTTTTATTTTCAAGTTATCGGACCTTCCTACGCACTGTCCAGAGTGCAGCATTGGAACACCATGCTCCAGGCATTTGTGTTGCTCTCTGGTACATTACGATACTGCGTCCATTTCGCTTGGTTCGAAGTGTTTACGACGGGGTAAAGGCAGCACATATTTTGAGGTTTGCAATCTGAGGTGGATCCTAACATACGCAGTCGCACTCTCTTTTTGCCATATGTCTCTCTGTCTGTCTCTGTCTGTCTGTCTGTCTGTCTCTCTGTCTCTCTGTCTCTCTCTCTCTCTCTCTCTCTCTCTCTCTCTCTCTATGTGTGTGTGTGTGTGTGAGTCTTGTGAATCAGGTATTTAGAAATATATCGAGCATGCAATAGAGTATACAACTATTTTCACGCCTAGATCCGAAATTTGCGTCCCGCATTTCATTGGTTGCATCACCGCAAAGAAATCTATTCTGTATAATCATACCATGATTATCAACAGAACGAATACTTCAGAAACACAAAAGTGACCTTTACCAAGTGTAATTTTACTAATTTCAGTTATCATATATGAATGTGAATATATATTCACACACACACATACACAGCATGAGGTCAGCCAAGGGGCTTTCTCGGCGTTCTTTCGGAAGTTATCCAGGGCTTCCGTTTAGAGCGATCGAGGAACCACTAGCCCAGGGAAGCGACCATTGGCCCAAGATTAAGGGTTCCCCTAATAGTTGGATTTATCAACGGCGCCCACTCCAAAGTGGTTGGCGCCACCCCTTCACCTGGAGATAGACTCCCTGTTTCCAGGCGCTTCCCTAACAATAGCAAGGGTGTTGTGCAGCTCAAGTAATGAAGCATAACAATGACATGTAAACAATGTGGGCAATGCAGTAAACAAATATATTTAGAATTATGACATGTTGGCATTCGATGCCTTGCTTCACTGTAACTAAAAAGACGTGGACTAAGATGTTGCCGAAGCGCCCAATATTGATGTCGAATCGGCCAGATGAACTAAACCCATGGCACCAAAAAAAGAGAGTGAAAACATTTTTGCAACCTCAACCTCCTCAAAAGCAAGGGATCTATTCCTTTCACCAAACACAAAGTGAAGTAATGCGCTGCACAAGTCAACCCTGTGTCCGAAGACTCACTGATTGTGCTTCAAAACAAATGTAATTTAATGATGGGAATGCCATCAAAGCAATAAACACCTCCTTGCAAACTGTTTGGGAATTAGAGAGTATTGTAGTATTTGCCGGCGTGGAACTTTGATAAGTTTGGCGTCTTCAGTTCTGCATCCGAAATCTAGTCTCCCTCTCCTTTAGATCCCTCCCCATAACGCAATCCCCCCCCCCCCACAGACACACTCGTTCCTTTTTTCTTCTTATTTTTTTAGTATCTTCACAATCTCTAACAGACCTGATCACTAACCCACGCCCCTTCCCCCAGTAAACCATCCATCACCGAAAAAGGATATTTATATAGCCAGCCCTTCTACCCCTCCCGTTGAGCCCTAACTAAACACTGAAATAACTCACACTAGCTCACAAACACACATGTGATATCGCTAACCATGCAACCCTCCCCATGTCATAATGCCATGGTTCAGGGTGCAATAGTTTCATTTGACGTCCTATGGCACCGCTGCAAAGCAAAATACGTGATCGTGTTGACCCAAGGAAGTTGCGCATTACTCCTACATCTGCCCTACTTCATGGTCCCTTCTCATCAGCGAAAGAGAATTAGAACGATAAAGAAACACAAGTGCGCCCAGTCGATTTTCCACAGGGAATAGGAAGAGGAGAAACAAGTTATTAAACAAAAGAGGAAATAAGTATCCCTTCCCTCAAACCATCTACGTCAATGGAATGATGCAAAACGCCGGCACTAATCCTGTGTTCCCATCCCTGACAGGAGCATATGTTGTGATGATGCAGACCAAGAAACATTTGAACCTAATAGTGTAGATAATGAGGAAGAACATGAGCATACTACAGTCGAACCAAGGAAGAAGTCACAGAGAATCCGTTGTTCGTTAGTTTCCCCAAAGTAAGAGACCTATATGCATTCGAAACCAAAATGAGTCGCACATGTCAACTTTGCCGTGCAAGTTAATGGACTCAAACAAGTTTTTGAAATCAGATTATTTTCCTAACCTAGTGAAAGTATCTTTAAGCGAAAACAAATATAAAACAACATAGTCTTTCGAGCACGATACTCGGCGAAAATGTCCAATCAACATAAGCGTGCATGAAGACAAGGCGCAGCAGGACTCTTCCAAGCATTAATTTTACAAATGGAACGTAAGCAAACGAAATACTACTGGTATTGCAGTACCTACAGAGATGGTTTCAAAACGACATTCTGGGTCACTGAACCTTATAAAGAAAGGCACGCGAGCACAAAATAAAAGCACCTTCAAAGACTAAATCTCGTGCAACACTACAAATGCATCAGTCCCCCCCGCCGACGACCTTGAAGCTTTATGGCTCGCAGCTCAGCCCAGATGCCCGCCTCGGGAAATCAGCGTACTGCTCTTGGATATATTTTGCACTCAGAATACTTATCCAAGAAGCCTTTTCTCCCTTCCCTCCCTCACAGACACTCTGGGACAATAGTGATTATCTATCGTCGCTCTGAGTGCCAAAAGACTATCAAACGGAGCAAATTTCGGACAAAAATTCACTTACTAAGGAGTTCGTGAGTTTGGATCATGGATGCAATATCGTAACTGGGCTTAGATTCTCGAAGTTCCCGACTCGAATACAAAATGCCTTCAGCAGTATATACGCGTCTGGGATCATGTAGACTTTTTAAGTTTATTTATTTTAGTTTTTTCAAGAAATTCGCCCACCAACAGGGCAAACCAAACAAGATCAAAAGTTTACTCTGACAAGAGAAATAATAACTAGTAGCAGATAAAAACATGAGTAAAAATAAAAAAAAAAGTTTCCTAGCAAATGAATAAACATGAGGTACATCAAAGTGTGGAAAGAAGACATCGCAGACACTTCATTAATTACTTCACCTCAAACGTAGCAGGCAGAATGTACTTATCAACCGCATCATCCTCATTAATGAAAATTTAATTCCTTGGAGTGAAATGTATTACGACATGTATTTCACCGACCTTCCCCTTCCTTAGAAATCGGGTTAACAGCCAAATCTCTAAAAAAATTGAATTGATGGCAGAAATGTCTGCGACTCAATGTTATTCCTACTAATAGTTAATAGGGATAACAGCCTCATATGAGAAAATCGACGATGCAATGGACGACATGACGCTAATACTTGCACGCAAATCAGGGCAAGCCAACACCTGATTGTAAGATTCCCTTAATCATGCATCGGGAAGAGTGCATGGGAGTAAAATGCCAACGTAATATATTATCCGGTACAAGAATTAGATCACTGGCACAAGAGTGGGATGTGGATTTATATTCTGTCGTGACTGAAAACAAGCTACATTGTACTCCGCATATGGACAACTTTCATGCGATATATCAATGAATGTGCACCCTACTCTGTCATTCACCTGTGAGTAATGAGTTTTCGGAAGGAAAGTTTACTAATATCATTGTCCACAAGGCAACATGATCATCGGCGTTATCATTTTTCTATGAAAATAACCGCAAAGATGTGATGTTAAAATCCGTGAGTTAAAATATGGTATAGATATTCGTACTAGTTGTATAAAGACTAATGTTACATAAGGACAATCTGCATGTGCAAAAATACTTTTTTTATGAAATAGATCTATAATTATTATGATCATCACATACACAAACACACACACACACACACACACACACACACACACACACATACACACACACACACACACACACACACACACACACACACACACACAAAGCAGCAATTATCATCTGTATCATATTCAGACCATGGTGATCTCACAAACGTCCTTCATCAGTCGGTTCGATCATTTTAAGGTAGCAACAATTAAACTGTCAATAATAACAGCAATCTGAAAATTAATAGATCTAAAAAGCCCAACAAACTCCACGACAAATTCTGCAATTTATCCCGTCTTTCCAGTCACAAAACATGGCATGTTCACAAAAAAAAGAAAAAAAAAATGTTACTCAGTGTAAAAACAAACAAGACCCAAAAAAACAAAAACAAAACAACAACAACACGACA